CTCTGCGGCATCGCGGGGGCCGCCCGTGCCGGGCCCCCTGTCCGCGTCGGCCCGGAACAGATCGTCCACGAATCGGCCCGAAGCGAGCGAGAACAGCTTGGCAAGGATGGCCTGCCGCGCTCGCGGGGCGCTCGCCGTGCCGCCGCGGCGCTCGCGCCTCGCGCCTGGAGCGCCGCCCCAACGCGGTCCCAAGCGTATCCGCTGCCCACGGCGCCGAAGGGGCAGCTCAAGAGTTGCAGACAGTAGCCCTCGCGGGCTCCCTTGGCCCATACCGAATGGGCCAACGGGAGGTCGGCGCCTCGCACGGGCAACGTTTTGTAAGCACCGATGAAATCTTCTTTGCTCAGCACCGGCGTGCCGGCCGCGGCCGCGATCCGCGCCAGCTCGACCAGAGCATCGAGAGAATCCACCCTGCGCGCGGTCGCGGCGACACGGGAGAGCGGACAGCGCGCGCGAGGGGCGGGGGGGGGGGGAAAGGGCCCGCCTGCACCTCTCGGCTGCGGCGGCGCAGTCATTAACGCCCGTGGCAGTGAAATCGCCGATCGCGCGTACCTGGACGCGTTGGCTCCCGGCGCGGCGCCCAGGGGAGGGGACGGTGCATGCCGCGGCGAATGCGCCCTTCCTTGCGTATCCATTCTTCCAACTTCCAGCGCCATCCCTCGTCTACAGGGAATCGCGGGTTTAACGCCGCCCCGCGTGGCAGGTCGGACAACCGGACCCACGCTGCCTGGCCCGCGGCCACCTGCACGCTCGCGGACGTCGCAGCATGGGCGACTGTCCCCGCTGGCTTGCGCGGCGCGCGCCTCTTCGTATGCTTTATCATGCAAAATCTGGGTGACTTCCGCGTCGGTCCCCAGATCCCGAGACACGCGCTCGAGGGTGGCGGCGTTCAAAGTGTCCGCTCGGCTGCGCAACTCGGATGGGCATTCGGCTCCCTTGGGGGTCACGGGCGCGTTCATGCCCGAGCGCGGCAGGACCCCCACTAGCGGGAAGCCCCGCTCCAAGTCACGCGTCAAATTCTCGTCGGACGCCTCAAGCACGGAGCCGCGCCCCGCTGTCGCGCGCGCGCGCGCTGCGTCGCTGGTCACCCCTGCAGCTTGCATCATTTCGGCCAAAAGCAACAAGTTCTTGTCAGGCCCAAGGACGGAGCGCACATGCCATGGTAACTTCGCATAGCGTGCCTCGCCCGACCGCGCTCTCCGCCGGTGCTTCGCGGTAGCGGCGTGCCGGGCGGCGCCTTCCATTCTGAAGCCGTCGCACGTTTGCGCTCTCGCCAAAATTGCAACGCCGCCTCGCGCCTCTCTTGCAAGAGTGCGTCGCTCGTCTGGCTCGCCGCCACCGCCGCATCGCGCTCAGGTCCCGCAAGCGGCGCTATCTCGCGGACTCGCGGCAAGTGTGCCGCCCAGGCGGCGTGGCAAAGAGGGCTCATGCCCGCCCTCTTGTCTTCGTCGTCGAGCAACGCATCCACGGCGGCTTTGATCTGCGCGCGCGCGCTTCGCGGCTCCGCCCCCGTAGAGTGGCGGGCAAGGGCCTCTTCAAATGCGCAGCCGGCATCGTGGATTTGCTGGGGGCAAAGGTCGCCGCCCCCGCCTTCGGCGCCGTCGTCGGAATCAACATCCGCGTCCTGCGCTGCGCTCGCCGCGGGCGGGGCGGTCTCGCGCGCGGCGCACTGGCGGCGCCTCCTGCCCCTCGGGCGACGGCCCGCGCCACGCTGCGCCCTCACCGCTGTCGGCAGGGTGCAATGGGGAGGCCCCGTCGTCTGCATCACTGGCTGGCGCGGCGTCCCCGCGGGGGGGCGCGCGCGCGCGCGCGAGCGCGCCTCGGGCGGGCGAATAATTAGCATGCACAGCGCCGGCGCCCTGGCTTCACCACCGCCAGGACTCCTTTCGCTCAGGCTTGTGCCACGAGCTCCCCGCGTCCTTGGGGGCCCCTCCCTTGCCGGCCTTTCCGCTCCCCTTCTTGCTGAAGGTATCGCGGCGGGGGCTGCGCGAGCGCTGGCGGAGGACAGGGCTCACCGGGGTCCGTGGCTTCGCCGCCTCGCGCGCCGCGACGCGTGCTCGCGCTCGCGGGGCGCGCGCGCGCGGGCTCGCGCCTGGTCGCGCCGGTCGTTGCCGCCTTTCTTGCCCCCGCCCTTGGCGAACGCCGCCTGGCGGTCCGACTGCTGGACTCTCTCCTACAGCGCGCGGCGCGATGCACGATGCCAGGGCGGCGGCCACTCAAAAGCGCTGCGCTCCTTGGCGGCGCGCAGAATGTCCCGCGACAGCGCAGTGAACGAGGCCGTCGCATCCTCGTCGCCGTGTTCCAGGTCTTTCGCCACTTTCTGGCGGAGAAGCAAATCGTACGTGTAGGGAACCTGGACGCGGCGCGGGCTCCCGCGCGCGGCTCCCTGGGCATCGGGCCCGCCGCTCCGCGGGCGCGCCTCGACGCCCCCGTGCTCCTCGCTCACGCGCGCGAGCTGGTACATGCATCCCAATAGCACGACGGGATCAAACACTTTGGACAGGATGCAGCGAAGCCCCCACTCCATTACGTGGGCCTCGCGCCACGGGGCGCGCGTGGGCGCGCGCGTTGCGCTGCGTCGCGCGCGACCTGGAAGTGCGCATAACCGAGAAAATCCATTCGGTCCAGGGCCGCACCCGCGCGGTTCGCCGCGGTGACGGCCGACGCGCGATCGCGCCACGAGCCCGCCCCCGCTGGTACCGAGTCCAGCTTCGGCATTCGCGCCCATTGGGGCTTGCAGTGGTCCTGCGCGCGGAGCAATCGGCGAAACGGAAGCTTGTCATTGCACGTGCCGCCGAGCAGGGAGCCTGCAGGCTCTCGCCCTCGGCGCTCCCAATGTATGAGCGGCCATGGGACTGGGCCGTCCGGCCCGCGGCCGCGAATTTGCGCATCGACTCCTCGGTCGGCAATCCCTCACGGGGGAACTTGCCGAGCCAGACCTCGCGCACACGGTCCTGCCGAGGCGCGCATCCCCGAACAATGCCGCCCGCGCATGCGAAAACGCGGCGCGCCTCCATGGCAAACGCCAGCGGCTTCTCCCGCTTTTCTTCGAGCAATTCCTTGCTGGCCTTCACGTATTCTTCCATTGCCGCCGCAATCCGCGTCGTCTCCTCCGCGGGCTTGGCGGCCGCCTCCGCCGGGGCCGATTGCTGACCCTCCTGGCGGCACGCCGCGCGGCGGCCCGCGTCCTCGCGCACCAACGGGGCGGGGGCCTTCCGCCCGAAGGCTTCCATCGCTCGCGACTGTGTCCGCAGCACCATATTGATGTGGCACGGCTTAATCGCGACATCGCGCCACTCCGCGGAAGAATCGCCCGCAAACGGCTTCGCGCCTGGCTTCAGGGCCGCAATCGACATATCGCGCGTGGCCGCATCCGAGTAATCAATCGGGCGGACCGCCCCGATCGCTTCGGCCATCAGGCGCGCGACCGTGGTGCACAGCACCAGCTCGGGAGCTGGCGATGCGCCCCCCTCCGCCGCGTTGGCCGCTGCGACGAAGAGGACCCAATCGGCCTTGCGCGCCGCTGCGAGTGGGCTCATGCCCGCGGTAGACGCACGGAGACGCGCGCGCGCGCCCTGATGGCATTTTTGTCGGTGCCGAATGCGCCAGCAGGCAGATCGCCAAGCAACCCAACGATGTCTGAGCGAGCCAGCGCCATGGATGCTGCGCGCGCGTCGGAAAGCGCCGTGCACGTATCCCCCTCGGCGTCCTTATCGCGCGCTGGCGGTTTCACATGACATAACCCGCAGGCATCCAGCGCAAGAGGGCAGGCAAACGCACGCCGCAGGCATACTGCGCACCGGGGCTGACAGGCAGCATCCGCAGGCATACTGCGTACTGGGCCGGCATTCGGCAACCGCAGGCGTACTGCGTACAAGGGCCGGCATACGGCACACACTTGCAGGCATACTGCAACGCACGCAGGCATACTGCGCTATGGGGGGGGGGGGGGCCGGCATACGGCACTCGCAGGCATACTGCGCTTAATGACCGGCATGCGGCGCCCACTGGCAGGCATACAGCCGCGCGCGCAGGCATACTGCGGAGAGGGGCTGACAGGCAGCAATCGCAGGCATACTGCGTACAGGGCCGGCATTCGGCATTCGCAGGCATACTGCGCACAATGGCCGTCATACGGCACACACTGCAGGCATACTGCACAGAGGAAAAACGCACCCCGCCAGCGGGACGGCCACGCGTGAGACAAATCCCATTCACCTGCGACGAGAACGCGCTCGCGGGCGCGCAGGGTGGGGATCCGCCTCAGCCGTGAATAGCCGTCCCGCAGCATTAGAGACAAGCAAGAAGATAGCCAATAGGGGCCACGACGCTCGCGCGACTTCTCCCCGCGCTCAAATGCTGCCCAGAGCGCCCATACAAAACCTGCGACCACTATCTAGAAGCTACAGCAATCGTGTCATCACAGGCGGACGCACCAGTCACAGCCGACGCTGACAATTAAGCTCAAACGAACATTAAGCCCATCAGTAAATCTTAACATGTAAGCCCACACCACTTACAGCACTTCTGCTGCAGCTGCAGCTTCGTGAACCATGTAACCCAAACTTAAATTTGCGATGGTGATCGAGCTATCCGCAGAAGGAGCGCGAACACCAAACCTCGCCTTATAACTATAGCTCAAACCAGACGAGCTGTTAAGCTAAAGCGAACGCCACACCGGAGCTAAAGTATTCCGTGCGGCGAACACACAATATGAAACATGTCACATGTATGAGCCTCTCGAGGGGTGCTTCCATCCCAACCTCCCCATGGTCAGGAAATTTAGCTTGGCGTGTCCCGGCGGCGGCCCTGGAGATACGCTATGCCCTGCGAGCGGATAGCGTGTCGCTCCACTCCGCGGGGGACGTTGACGCTTGGGGCTAGGACGTGATTGGCGTGTCGCGCCGGAACGTGGCGGACCAAAACCGGCGGCTCGACGCGCTGTGCAAAAGTGCCTGACCGTAATCTGCCGTGGGCGACTGCATCTGTGCTCATGGGTCCTCGTCCAAGCGGTAGTGCGCCACGCCGTCCTCCGAGGGCCCCTCCGTGACCCACTTCGCCGTGAACTCCGCCCCCTCGCCCGTGCAGCCGCCTCGGCAGAACCTGACGATGCCGGCCCAGAGCTCCTCGAAACCGATCAGCCCGTCCAGCGGGCCGGACACGGCCCGGTAGAGCCCCGAGTCGGGGGGCACCTGCAGAAAAGTCACAGCGCTGCACAAGCATGAGCCTTCGGAGGTCTGCGCGGATTTCGTGGTTCGGCGCTGGGCACTCCTCCCTGGCGCGCGCGGAGCGCGCCAGGGGCGGTGGCGGAGGCGCTGCCAGGGGGGTCCCGCGCAGACCCAAGAGATCCGTACGGACCTCTGAGAGTTTCGGATTAAAGTCGACACAAGGCCATCATAACATGGATGAAGAACGCGAGCGCCTTCGCCGAGGTGCCAAGTCAAAGATACCCAAAGCGAAAAACATTCCAAGAGGGAAGGTCACACGCGAAGAGCACACGGGCACCCCTCACAAATTAGGGCCGTTCTTGGTTCTCGTGCCAGCTGCATTTTCTTCTTCTCTGCATTCCCAGGACCTCTCCCAAAGTGCGTCCTGACCAGAGAGCTTCGAGGATAACCCGGCCGAGGCGACGAAGGCCTCCCACGAGGCTCAAGAAGGCCAAAACGAGGGAAGGGCAGAGGTGTCGGTACCGTCGGGGTTGATTGGAGAAAGACACGCGAGAGGACCCAAGACCCTTCCGCGGGCCACGTTGCCACTGGAATGCAGAGGGCATGGGTCGGGAAGCACAGGACACAGCAAGGGTGCCCTGGATTTGGCAGGGTCGACCTGCTGGCTAACCTCGACGGCATCAGCACCCCCTCCTCCCCCCTGAGCCCAGCTGGGGAAAGCACCCGGAGCCGAGGTCCTCCGGCCCTCGAGGGGAGCTCGGCGAGACCTACGGCTGGTCCGGGACCGCGAGCCTTTCGCCTCCTCCTCCTCCTCCTCGGTCCTCCTCCTCCTCCTCCTCCTCCTCCTCCTCCTCCATCATCTCCTCCTCCTCCTCCTCCTCCTCCTCCTTCATCTCCTCCTTCATCTCCTCCTCCTCCCCCTCCCCCTCCTCCTCTCCTCCTCCTCCTCCTCCTCCTTCCCCCTCCTGCTCCTCCTCCTACTCCCCCCTCCTGCTTCTCCTCCCCCCTCCTTCTCCCTTCGCCTCCTCCTCCGAGCACCTGCACGTTCGGGCTCACCTCGACGCGCCCACGCCCCATCGGCCCCCGGGCGACCACGGCTTCCAGTATGGCCTGCAGCCTCTCGGCCTTGCGCTCGCCGCCGCGGCGGACGCTGGGCAGCCGCCCCCACGACTCGAGGCGCAGCGGGCTCCTGCTTGGCCACAAAGGCAGGCCCCCAAAGCCCCTCGCGTCGTGACAAAACCAACGACGGACCATCTTCCATATTTTCGGCCTCCAGGGGCCCTTGCCGCGCCGCGGGAAACAACTGCTCAGGACGAAGAACCGGTCCCCGGGGAATGGGTCCAAACTTCCGCATCATGAAACATTGACGACGTCGGGGCTCTGGGGACGGGTCCTGAGGGAAGCAACTCCTGGAACTTAGGGCCTCCCTGGGACCAACTTCTCATTCTGTACCGTTTTATGAGGGTCCCGGGTTCCCTCAAGTTCCGTCTGCTTCATGGCGGTCCTGTGAAGCACCATGTAGTCCACCTCTGGGCTAGGGACCCCGTGCTGGTCCAGCAGCTCCGTGCGCACCGTGCCCCTATCCTTGTCCACCTCGTAGCGCAACTCGTGCGACTGGTCTTCGCCTCCGCCCCGTGCCATCTTCTTGAGGAGCGCCCCGTCCAGAATGTGGGTGACGGTGAACTCTGAGCTCTCAGGCGATGCCGCGGCGAGCCTGGAGTCCTTCAGCAGCCCCAGCCTCACGGGGCTCTGCAGCAGGCTCACCATCTGCGCCCAGAACTCCTCAAAGCTGGCGTGGTCGTCCAGGACGTCGCTGACCGCGCTGACCTGCCCGGTGCCGTCCGGTGACTGCGCAGAGTCGTGCACGACGACCCTGCGTGCCATGCCCGGCTGCAGGGGGTGGACAGCCCCACTTCAAGGCGGGGGGATTGGCTCGTGTCTGCGACGCCGCGGAGAGCTATATCTTGGAAAATGCGAAAAAGAGCCTTGAACACAAGGCTACAGACACACACACACACACACGCACACATGCAATCACACACACAAACAACTTGTGCCCTTGGCCCCTCCCGCCTCTTTCCCCTTCCCTTCGGTGGAGCCCCCTGTAGGGCCACGAGGCGTGTGGCAGGTGTGCCGACATGGACATGCGGTGTGCGGGGAGCCGCATGTGGACCCTGCCGCTGGGGCCTTCGGTGGAGCTCCCGATGGGGCCACGCAGCGTCTGAGGAGCGTGCCGACATGGGAGGAGGAGTGAGGGGGAGGAGGAGAGGAAGTGAGACGTGCAAAAATCACAACTGGAGCCCAGGACCCCATCTCTCGTCACCGTTTTTCGAACCTGATCAATCTGTGAAGGCCCCGGGGCCCGAACCTGGGCGAAAACGTCCGGTGTGAAACATTCGCAGTGCCAGGATCTCAGGCTACAAAACCTATGGTTTTGATAAGCGAGTGTGCGCGCTCTGTGTTTTGCAAAGGATGGCGGGGGGGTCGATACCAGCCTGGCTGGGATAGTATGAATTCGCAGGTCGGATGGACATTGGGTCAGATTCCTGTGTCTTACATCGACTCCCGGGTCCGGGGGGGGGTGGAGGATGGCAGCACCTACCCTAGCCTACCCTAGCCTCGAGCCTACTTTAGCGAGGAGAATTGCCCACCCTAGCCTTGAGCCCTCTGCTTGGCCAGGGAGGGACGGCGGTCGCCTCCCCACGCGCCGCGCCGCCCGGGGGGCGCGGGGGCGCCGGCGGCCAGGCCGGCGTCCTGCGCGGGTCGATCGGCGTCGGAGTCGTCGTCGCCGGCGGCGTCGTCGGCGGCGTCGTGGTGGTCGTCGTCGGGGGCGTCGTGGTCGTCGGCGCCTGGCTGGAGGCGTCGCGGTCGTCGGCGTCTGGCTGGAGGCGTCGCGGTCGTCGGCGTCGTGGTCGTCGCCGCCACTGCAGGCCGCCGCCGTTGTCGCCGTCGCCGTCGCTGGCGCTAACGCAGGCGTTAATCTCGGCCTCAGCGTCGACGTCGGCTTCAGCATCGGCGTCGTCGGCGTCATCGTCGTCATCATAGTCATCTACGTCTAGCTCAAACTTCAGACACCTCTGGAAGTGCTTCTGGGTGCCTCTGGACGGCGTCGGTCGTTGCTGTCGTAGGCGGCGGCGCCGTCGTCGGAGATTGCGCGCCTGGCCGGCCGCCCGAGGGTCTGGGGGACCGCCCCTTCGCCGTGCTCTGGTGGTCAGACTTCTCACCCAGACGTTGACGATCGGGAATGGGGACGTGGTTCGCGCGCCGCGCCGAAGCGTGGTGGACCAGAACTGGCGCCGCGACACGCTGAGCCAAAGCTCCCGACTGTGTACGCTTTACATCGAGCCTGGCCAGGCTCATCCTGGGCCCAGGGTCCGACGCTACGGTCGGGAACTTGCCGCCCCGGCGACCCTGGCGGCACGCTGTGCTCCGCGAGCGGACAGCATGTCGCTCCGCTCCGCGGGGCCGAAGGCTCGGCAAAGCCCTGGACGTTGACGCTGGGGGACTGGGCTGTGGATGGCGCGTCGCGCCGAAGCGCGGTGGCCCAGAACCGGCGGAGCGACACGCTGAGCCAGAAGCTCCCTGCCGTATGCTCTCCTGCCCAAGCCCAGAGGGCGCAGTGCAACGATCCTGGGCCCAGGATGGACCCCGGGGCGCCGCCAAGCAAAAAACGGTGGGCGCTCTGAGGCACACCAGGCCTCCCTTGGGCCGCGCGGACGATCACAAAAACGACCCGCGACGAGAAGCCAGCCCTGGAGATGGGGCGGAGAACCCTGGGGGCCCACGTCGTGAGCAACTGCGGTCGGGGACTTTTGCCTGGCGTGTGGCCCTGGCGGCCCGGGCGGCACGCTGTGCCCTGCGAGCGGGCAGCGCGTCGCTCCGCTCCGCTCCGCGGCAGGCTCGGCAAAGCCCTGGACGTTGACGCTGGGGGACTGGGCTGTGGATGGCGTGTCGCGTCGCAGCGTGGTGGGCCAGAACCGGCGGAGCGACACGCTGAGCCAAAGGTCCTGACCCTATCCCAGCAAAGCATCCTCATTTGGCGGTGCGCACAAGGGGGTGTGGGGGAGGGGGAAGGCTTCTCAGAAGGAGGCTGCTCCTTAGAAGGCTCCGGGCTTACATCTATAATGAAGGCCCGCGCCTTCTAAGAAGCAGGCGTGCTTCTAAGAAGCCTTCCCCCCTCCCCCTTCCCCCCCCTCTGCGCGTGGCCGACTAATGGCAACGAAGGTGAAGAGGCGTTTCGAGGAGCAGGAGGTCGGCTGGTGAGAACGGGCATTCCTAGGTATTCCCCGGGGAGTCCTGGGAAGCTGGCAGACACGAAGAGCCACAGGTGCGGTGGGTGGTGCCCTGTTGTGTGCAAGAGTCGTGCGCGGTAAAGGAGCCCCGGCAACGTTCGGGGCTCCACTCCCGCGTGCGACTCAAGAGGCGAAACACTTTGGACGTGCAGCCGGGCAAGGGTGAAAGCACGGCCCTGTGCAGCCCTTGGTGTGCTTTTTGTGCTAAGCATCGTGGCCGTGCATCGAGAATGTACTGACCCGGGTCAATCCAGACCTGGGCCAGTGAGGTAGTCAAGCTTTGCAAGGTCCTGCGAGATCCTGCAGGATCCTGCGCCCAAGCCCGGGTCAGTGCACCCCTGGCCCTGCAGGATCCTGCAGGATCCGGCGCTCTGACTGACCCCGTTTGCATTGACCCCCGTCTCAAGGCCCCCGACAAAACATTGTGGAGGTCCAGACCAAACATGCCGCCGGCATTGAGGCGAGAGCCAGCATCGCTTTTTCCATGCAATGCCAACAAAATGCGCGTTCATCCACTACCGCTACCCATGTTGTTCAGAAGCCTCTGGCGAAGCGCTGCTCGGGAAAAAACGCGACGTCGGAGTTCTGGGTTTGCCGTGCTCCTGGCCACACCCAGGCCGTCCACGGCGGCAGCAAAGACGAAGCACCGACCGCGCCGACGGCGAAGCCGAACCCAACCAGAGCCGACCGACATGCCTCAAGCGGCCCAGAAAGGCGCAACGACGCGACAACGACGCAGCAGCCGACCGGACCGAGCTGGCCGAGCGCAGCCGACTGCGACGTGGCCGAATCGACCGAACCCGGCACAACCTGGCAGGCCCTGTGAAGTCGCGGAGGAGCCACCGTCAGAGGGAAGAGCAAGGTTGCAACACCATGGTGCAAACACTACTGTCAACAACGCCACCACCACATATCAATAACATGAACTAATCTATCAACAACATCAGCTACGAGATCAGCATGCAAACGAGAACCGCTAGAAAAAGCTACCATCGAAGAAAATCACGATGCAAGAACGTCTGCCGCCCATGCCTGGGCAGCAACCACAGTGCCAGGCTGGACAGGCAAAGATCCACAGGCAGCCTCGACGAGCTGCGCGCAGGGGGGTCTGACCTGGTCGACCAAGTCAGGAGATCCCGATCGGGACCCCAACGAGTCCTGATCGGGACCTCCTGGCCGACTCTTTGGGGTCCCGATCGGGACCCCAAAGAGTCGGCCAGGAGGGGGATGAGGCCAAATCCGGTCAAAATGTGTCCCTGGACCCCTCCTGGGGTCCATCTGTTCCTCTGGTGCCGATATTTGCCCCGGACCCGTTTGTAGCGGCGCTCCCGGAGTCCGAAAGAGGCAAACAAAAAAAACCTTCCCGAGCCCAGCGCCTCGAAACTCGCCTCCTGCTGGCCGGCGCCTGTGCTGGGCCACCTCTTGCGTCCTCCTCCTCCTCCTCCTCCTCCTCCCCTTCCCCCTCCTCCCCCTCCTTCCCCTCCTCCTTCTCCTCCTCCTCCTCCTCCGCCTCTTCCTCCTCCGCCTCCTCCTCCTCCTCCTCCCTCAGGCCCCCGGCTCCAAGTTGCAAGTGCTTCTCTCCTGGGCTCCGGGCCCTTAGTGCTTGGAAGTGTTCTCGGGGTTTGGATCCCTTTCAGGGGCCCTCCTCGACCGTCGGGAAAAAAAGGCGACGTCCTCGACGACGACGCCGACGTCCCCGACGACGACGACGACGACGAAGTCCTCGACGACGACGTCCCCGACGACGACGACGCCGCCGAGCCTCGCCGCCGTCGCCGCCCGCGGCGCTGGCCGCGGCCCGCTCGGGGCGCCGCTCGCGGCAGGAGGTGCGGAGGTCGGCTGCGGGCGGGGGCATGAGCCGCTCCTCCCCAGGGGGGCGCGCGGGGATCGGCTTGTCGTCGTCGTCGTCGTCGTCGTCGTCGAGGTCGTCGTCGTCGAGGACGTCGTCGTCGAGGACGTCGTCGTCGAGGACGCCGCCGTCGTCGTCGTCGTCGTCGTCGTCGTCGTCGTCGGCCCCATCAATTTGGGCACACCGACCCCGCTGAACAACAAACAATGCTTCGGATGACTGGGCCCCGGGGGGGAGGAGGGAGGGGGCTCGAGGTTCAAGGACCCTGGGCGCTCTTCCCTCCTCTGGTCTTCCATGGAAGCCTCCCTCGCCACGGCTGGATCCGCCTCGAGATTCTGGCCAGACCGCACTCTTGGAGAGGTCCAGGGACATATTTTCAGGGGGGAGGAGGGAGAGGAATAGGATAGGGAGGGGTCTCCCATCGTCGATGGCTGATGCATACCAGGAGGGGAGGGGGAGGAGGCGGAGGAAGAAAAAGGACAAGTGAAGCAGGAAGGATGGACATGGACGGAAAGACGAAGGAGGATCAAGCGCTCCTCCCAGGGGGAAGACTGGGAGGAGGGGGACACACAGATACAGAGCTATCGGTGGTGCAAGCATGACGCTGCTGCTCGAAACTGCCTTCAGCCCTCAACGACAAGGCGCGCAGGCCTTCTGCTTCTCTCAACTAACACTTTCCCTCAGCGCCGTCATATACCTATCTTCATCAATGGTGGGCCAAGTTTCCCTAGCATCACCAACCTACCCCCTCGAGGTGGGGATGCATGCCGCGAAACCCGACGGAGAGGACATCAATCCTCACCCAGGGGTGTAGGTCGGACTGCGAGGCCAAGTCTTTCCCAATAGAGCTTGGGCTATGTCTAAAGATGCTGATTTCCCTGCCTCATCCCTTCAAGCCCCAATCGGCTGCACTCCCAATCTGCAACCAAACAAACATGTGCGAGGCTGCTAGCGTTCCCAGCCCGGCTTGAACGCTTGCGGTCCCAATTTGGTTTGCCTTGCACTTGTACCCATCAGAATCCGCCGATATGGCGTGTGAGTTTGAACAAGTCTCAGCTACAGCCTACAGCCTACAGCCTGAGCTTCAGCTCTGCTGGGGGGGGGCGGGATGGCTCTGCCGGGGAAAGGGGGGAGGGGCGGGGGGGACGAGTTGTGGTCCGTTTTCCGGGGAGGGGCTTTTCTGGGCCCACGAGGGCCCCAAGACGGGCCAAGAGGGCCTGAAGACCCCCCAAGACGGCCCCAGAAGCCCCCGAGACGCCCAAAGAGCGCTCCAAGACGCCGAATATGACCTCCAGACGGCCCAAGAGGCCGCCGAGACACTCCAAGAAGCCTCCAAGAGCCCTCAGACGAGGACCCTTCGAAGCCAAAATCATACATTTTACTTTGGTTTTGCAACGATTCTGGCCGTCCCGCCTTTTCGGCTTCCCGACGCTCCAAGGCGGCCCCAGAGGCCCCCAAGATCGCCCCAAGACGGCCCAAGAGGCTCCCAAAATGGCCCCCAGACGGCCCAAGAGAGCCCCAAGACTGCCCAAGAAACCCCCAAGAAGGCCCCAGAGGCTCTCAAGACGTCTCCAAGAGGGGAACCACACGGGGAACCCAAACGAAAATTTCGAGCCCTCGGCCTCCAGAAGCCCCTAAGAGGCCCCAAGAAGCCCCCAAGAGGGTCCAAAGGGGTCCCAAGAGGTCCAAAAGAGGCCCCTAGCAGGACCGAAGAGGCCCAGATGAGGCCCCCAAGAGGCCCAAAAGAGGCCCCGAGGGTCCCCACAACGCCCCCCAGGATGCCTCAAAAGTGTACCCATGAGGCCCCCGAGAGACCTAACAATAGCATCAAAAGCGCCCCAGATCGGCGGCACTGGCCGGAGGCCACTACAATTTCTGCGCGCTGTGAGATGTGAGAAAACAACACACGATCGAACATTGACGATTGTAAGGCGCAGCCATACTTCTTCCGACATCGTCTCGTCATGTGTCTGTGTATATGTGCTTATTTCGCTTGCGATTCTTGTCAAAAGCAAAAAACGCGGGGCCCACACAAGCGCCTGATCGTTTCCCCCGGGGCCGATTTGTCGTCCCGACTCGGCGGCCCCTGGGCACAGAAACAACGGACGCGATGAGCAAGTCTCGTCCGGGCGCCGCAGGCTCGGCGGGTCACCCTGGTCCTCCCCGATGGCCGCTCAGAGCCTCCTTCCTCCTCCTCCTTCTCCTCCTCCTCCTTCTCCTCCTCCTCCTCCTCCCTCCTCCGCTTCCTCGTCCTCTTTTTCGGTCTCCTCGGAAAACCGGGGGGGGGGGGGTCACTACCAGTTCGAACCCCACCTCCCCCCCCCTTCCCGGAAAACCGGGTGGGGTCACTACTGGTTCGAACCGCCCCCCCCACTCGCCGCCGGCAAACAACTCCTGGGTCCCCACCACCGTCCTCACCAACGCCCTCACCACTGTCCCCACCACCACCGTCCCCACCACTGTCCCGCTGTCCCCAGTCCCCACCACTGTCCCACTGACCCCACTGTTCCCGCCGCTGTCCCCACTGTCCCCGCCAGAGCCCCCACCACTGTCGCACTGTTCCCACTGTCCCCACCACTGTCCCCACGTCCCCACCACAATCCCACTCTCCCCACTGTCCCCACCACTGTCCCGCTGTCCCCACTGTCCCCGAAGGAGAGGAGTAGGCGGAGGAGGAGGACCGGGGGGGCCTGGGATGACCGCGGGGGTTGCTCTGGGGATATGGCGGTCTTGAAGGGATGGGAAGGTGTGAGAGATTCGAGGTTCGAGGTTTTGGGGCGTCTTCGTCGGTTCCCAGGAGTGTCCCAGCCTCGGGATGTTCTCCAACGGCTGCGCCTCGCCGAGGGCGCTCCAGGGGTGCCCAGACCGTCCCGCACGGCCGACGGAGACCTGGGCTGTGGCCCGCAAACCACCAACTTTGACGAACGCGGGGGTTGCAGGGGAATAGCGAACTTGGATGACCGCGGTGCTCAGGGGCGACGGTCGGGAACTTTTGCTGAACGTGTCGCGGCGGCGGCCCCGGTGACACGCCATTTCCTGCGAGCGGATGGCGCGTCGCTCCGCTCCGCGGGGCGGGACGCTCGGACAAAACTCGGGACGTTGACGCCGCGAGACCGCGAAAGTGAATAGCGCGCCGCACCGAGGCACGGTGGGCCAGAACCTGCGGAGCGACACGCTATCCACAAGTTGCCGGCCGTAACTGGATGTAAAGGCGAATTATATTTGACCTAACCTAGCTTTCAAATGGACTGCATCTGGCCTGGGTGGCTTTCACACGGCTAGGGAACTCTGGTAAGCGGGGCCCGCCCACGTCGCCCAATTCTTTGCCCCCCGAGTAAGCCGCTTAGGGCACATGCAGCCCACTCACATGCTAGGCTTGGCCAGGTATAGTGCAAGCGGCGAGATCCATGCATGTCCATCGCCGCTGGCCAGGCCCATCATGGGCCAGGGAGCGGTGTACATGCCTCCCTGGCCAAGCTAGGGGGCGTGTACACCGCTCTTGGGCCCAGTGTGAGCCTGGCCAGCGGCGGTGGATCGAAGGCTGGGGGGTGAGATCGCAGTGGAAGGGAGAGCCTCCCACCGGGAACACGGTGTTGGCTTCGTGTTCGTGTCGTGCGTGCGAGGCGAAACTGCGTGGGCGCGCGAGAGGAATGATGCCGCCGTCGCTAGGGCGACTGCGATGCAAAAGTCTGGCCCTCTGGTGGGCGCGCGGTGGCTTCACCGTGGTGTCTCGCGGTGTCTCGATGATGTCCCGCGGTGTCTCGCCGTGGGCGCGAGAGAGGAATGATCGCGCCGTCGCTAGGGCGATTCGGATGCAAGTCCGCCCTCCGGTGGGCGCGCGTTGGCTGGGGGTGTCCCGCCGCGGTGTTCCGCGATGTCCCGATGGAGTCCCGCGGTGTCCCGCCGTGGTGTCTCGATGGTGTCTCGTGGTGTCCCGTGGTGTCCCGTGGTGTCCCGCGGTGTCCTAATATTGTCCTGCGGTGTCCCGTGGTGTCCAGTGGTGTCTCGCAGTGTCCAGCCGTGGTGTCCCGATGGTGTCCCGATCGGTAGTAAAGTCGATCGTGAGATCGATAGCGACCGAGATATGGTGAGATCGGTAGTGAGAGCGATAGTTGGATCGATAGTGCGGTCGATCGTGAGATCGGTAGTTGCATCGATCGAGCAGATCGATAGTTGGATCGATAGTTAGGTCGATCGTGTGATCGATTGTGAGCTCGACTGTGAGATCTGATTTGGTTCGATGGTGTCCCGATGATCTCCCGATCGTACTCTGCACTACTCAGTGTGAGATCGCTGATGGGATCGATCGCTGGATCCATCGATCCTAACACCGGCCGTGAGATCAATAGTGAGATCGATCGAGTGAGATCGGTAGCGGGGTCGAAAGTGGCATCACATCGCGGCGCAACATCGTCATCACGCGTCGTCGCCACCTCGATGGCGCGCCACCGTCATAATCACACCCATCGCAACTGCCAGCACTTGGTTCTTTCCCGTTCCCCCCAACCTCTTTACCACCCCAAGGGTGGTCGTATAGGTATGTGTGCACGTCGTTCATTTCTGATCGTGCTCGTTTCTAATTGTGCTCGTTTCTAGTTGTTCCTGGCCCCCCAGTGGCCAGGAGGAGGCCCAGGATAGAACAACTAGAAACGAAAGGATCTTGCCCCCAAAAATCAAATCACTCCCGAATGCTTAGAAATCAACAATGTGTACGTGCACGTTGCGTCGTCCTCTACAATTCACCTCAGCATCCGCTTAGAACCCCCCTGTGTCCCCTTGGCGACGCCCGCGGTTATCCACGGGGGGGCGGGGCGCACACAGGAGGTCCTCTGCGCAGAGCAGCAGCGACGCGAACCAAGCCACCCACGAGCAGCGGCCGACCTGCTCCACCTGGGGCTCCCAAGAGCTCCTGCCTCCTTCCTCCCCCCTCCTTCCATCCTCCTCCTCCTCCTTCTTCCTTCTTCCTTTCTCTTCCTGTTTCCTTCCTCCTCTCTCCTCCTTCCTCCTCCTGCCTCCTCCTTCCTCCTCCTTCCTCACCTTTCCTCCTCTTTCTTCTGTCCCCCTTCCTCCTCCTTCCTCCCCCCTTCCTCCTTCTTCCTCCATTATGTTTCCTCCTTCTTTCCTTCTTCCTCCCTCCTTCCTCTCTCCTCTTTCCACATTTGGCTGGACTTTGGAAGCGCTGGGGCGTTGACCCCCTCAAGAAAAAATCCTTCATTCCTGCCTCCTTCCTCCATCCTCGCTTCTCCTCCTTCCCGGACACCCTCTGGAAATGGCCCCCTCCCGACTTCGAAACGGGGGTGCCCCTCCCCCCCTGGGGGGGGGGGGGGTAAAGGGGGGGAGCAGCTTCCGAAGTCCCACCCTCTCTGGAGGGCGTGGGCGCAGCTTTGGAAGCACCCTCCCCTCTGCAGAAAGGGC